GGCAATTCTCCTGCCTCAGCCTCCTGAGTCGCTGGGATTACAGGCACACGCCACCATGCCCAGCTAATGTTTTGTATTTTTAGTAGAGACGGGGTTTCACCATGTTGACCAGGATGGTCTTGATCTCTTGACCTCGTGATCCACCCGCCTCGGCCTCCCAAAGTGCTGGGATTACAGGCGTGAGCCACCGCGCCCGGCCCGCCCAGCTAATTTTTTGAATTTTAATAGAGACAGGGTTTCACCATGTTGGCCAGGCTGGTCTTGAACTGCTGATCTCACCCACCTCGGCCTCCCAAAGTGCTGGGATTACAGGCCCATCCTTTTTTTTTTTTTTTTTTTTTTAGCCTGGAGTGCAGTGGTGCAAACACGGCGCCCTGCTCTCACTATAGCTGAGGCCTCCTGAGCTCAGGTGATCCTCTCAGTATAGTGCCACTGTACTCCAGCGTGGCGACAGAGAGAGACTGTCTCAAAAAAAAAAAAGAAAGCTGGGCGCGGTGGCTCAAGCCTGTAATCCTAGCACTTTGGGAGGCCGAGGCAGGTGGATCACGAGGTCAAGAGATCGAGACCATCCTGGTCAACATGGTGAAACCCCGTCTCTACTAAAAATGCAAAACATTAGCTGGGCATGGTGGTGCGTGCCTGTAATCCCAGTGACTCAGGAGGTTGAGGCAGGAGAATTGCCTGAACCCAGGAGGCGGAGGTTGCGGTGAGCCGAGATCATGCCATTGCACTCCAGCCTGGGTAACAAGAGGGAAACTCCGTCTCAAAAAACAAAAAAAGAAAGAAAAAAATAATAATAATTTCTAGAATATATATCGTAAGCATTTCACATAGTGAATCTGACCTACACAGAGAAGAATCAGATGAGTTTCTTTTGTTCATACTGGTAGAATATAAAGGTAATAGCTAAAGGCTGGGTGAGGTGGCTCATGCCTGTAATCCCTGCACACTGGGAGGCCAAGGCAGTTAGATCAGTTGAGGTCAGGAGTTCGAGACTAGCCTGGCCAACATGGCGAAACCACGTCAGTACAAAACATACAAAAATTAACCTGACATGGTGGCACGTGCCTGTAATCCCAGCTACCTGGGAGGCTAAGGCAAGAGAATTGCTTGAACCTGGGAGATGGAGGTTGCAGTATGCCATGATCATGCCACTGCACTCCTGCCTGGGGGACAGAGCAAGACTCTGTCTCAAAAAAAAAAAAAAAAAGGTAATAGTTAACACTGTGTGTCACTGTTTAAATGTTTTTATTTACGCTATCTCATTTACATATGTAAATGAATTTAATAAATAGAGACTAGTACAACATTCCTTTTTTTTTTTTTTTTTTTTTTTTTTGAAACGGAGTTTCCCTCTTGTTACCCAGGCTGGAGTGCAATGGCGTGATCTCGGCTCACCACAACCTCCGCCTCCTGGGTTCAGGCAATTCTCCTGCCCCAGCCTCCTGAGTCGCTGGGATTACAGGCACGCACCACCATGCCCAGCTAATGTTTTGTATTTTTAGTAGAAACGGGGTTTCACCATGTTGACCAGGATGGTCTCGATCTCTTGACCTCGTGATCCACCCGCCTCGGCCTCCCAAAGTGCTAGGAATACAGGCTTGAGCCACCGCGCCCGGCAACATTCCTTAAAGAAAAAATGTTTAGGCTGGGCACAGTGGCTCATGCCTGTAATCCCAACACTTTGGGAGCCTGAAGTGGGCAGATTACCTGAGGTCAGGAGTTCGAGACCAGCCTAGCCAACATGGTGAAACCCCATCTCTACCAAAAAATACAAAATTAGCCAGGCGTGATGGCACATGCCTGGAATTCCAGCTATTCAAGAGGCTGAAGCAGGAGAATCACTTGAACTCAGGAGGTGGAGGTTGCCGTAAGCCTTGATCGTGCCACTACACTCCAACCTGGGTAACAGAGTGAGACTTCGTCTCAAAAAAAAAGCAGTTATATGTAGTAACTGCATTATGTGCCATACCTTAGAAAACCAGGAATCCAAAAACAATCAGTATATAATACAAGAAAAGACATAATCGCTGTGGATGTTATCAAGGCTAAGGGGTGTGTTCCTAAATATTATCAAAGAGAAAAAAAAGAGTTAACAGTTTATTTTATTTTTTGGAGACGGAGTCTTATTCTGTCCTCCAGGCTGGAGTGCCATGGCGAGATCTTGGCTCACTATAGCCTTCCCCTCCCGGGTTCAAGTGATTCTCCTGCCTCAGCCTGAGTAGCTGGGACTACGAATGTGTGCCATTGTGCTCAACTAACTTTTGTATTTTTTTGTAGAGATGGGGTTTCACCATGTTGGCCAGGCTGTAAACAGCCACTTTTTTTTTTTTTTTTTTGAGATGGAGTCTGGCTCTGTCGCCAAGTTACAGTACAGTGGGGCAATCTCGGGTCACTGCAATGGTGAAACCCCGTCTCTACTAAAAATACAAAAAGTAGCTGGGCATGGTTGTGGACACCTGTAGTCCCAGCTATTCAGAAAGGTGAGGCAGGAGAATCGCTTGAACCCGGGAGGCAGAGGTTGCAGTGAACCAAGATCTTGCCACTGCACTCCAGCCTGGCAACAAAGCGAGACTCCCGTCTCAAAATAAATAAATAAATAAATAAATATCAAAATTATTGTATTTTTTTAAATAATACCATTATTTTTAAAATCACATCTCATATTAAATCACTTTTTCTTTTTTATTTTTAGCCTCAGGATGTTCGGGTAAATCACATTGTCTTAAATTACTTAGGGAATGATCATTTTCATGATTTTAATTTTTTTTCGAGATGGAGTCTTAACTCTGTTGTCCAGGCTGGAGTGCAGTGGCGCAATCTAGGCTAACTGCAACCTCTTTCTCTCCGGGGTTTAAGCAATTCTCCTGCCTCAGCCGCCCAAGTAGCTGAGATTACCGGCACCAGCCACCATGCCTGGCTATTTTTTTTATTTTTCATAGAGATGGGGTTTTGCCATGTTAGCCAGGCTGGTCTCAAACTCCTGACCGTGTCCTCCCAAAGTGCTGGGATTACAGGTGTTAGTCACCTCTCCTGGCCCATTTTCATAATTTTAGAAGAGGTAAGTTTTCATGACTGAAGTTTAACCTGTAAATACAAGTATTTTCCCACAAACTACTGCTTGCTTGGCAGAGTTAACATCTTCCTCACCAAACAATAGTGTTTCCACCACGTCAGTGTGGTGGATGATCCTGTGGGCTTTCAGATCACCTTAAATAGAATGCTGACAACAAGAACAACTTTGTCATTCTGAGGTGAATGAGTTTCTCACATTCCCATTTGAACTCATGAGATTGACAAGCAAAAAGAGGAAATAGGACAGGCAGGATGGTTCACACCTGGAATCCCAGTACTCTGGGAGGTTGAAGCAAGAGGACTGCTTGATACCAGGAGTTTGAGACCAGCCTGGGCAACATAGTGAGACCCAATATTTTGAGTCTCAACAAAAAGTTTTCAAATTAGGCGTAGTGGCATGCACCTGTAGTCTCAGCTACTTGGGAGGCTGAAGTGGGAAAATCACATAAGCCCAGGAGTTCAAGGTGACAGTGAGCTGTCATTGTTCCACTGCTCCCACTCTGCCTTTCCCACCCCTAAAAACAAAAGAGCTAAATAGCATGCCTGGGTTAGCAGGTTATCCAAAATTCCTAACACAGCTGATGGGTCTAAATCTGTTCCTGTCTTTTCTCTTCACATTCCTTTCTTAACTTAGCTACACACACACACACACACACACACACACACACACACACACACACACAC